ATCCAGAAGGTGGAGGCCTTCGAGCACCGCATGTACACCCACCCCCTGCACAGCGACCCCAACCTGGAGTCGGTGTATTCCCTCTGTGAGAAGAAGGCTCTGGTGAGAAACCCTTCGTTAACAAAGAGGTCGGGGCTCGGGAAGCCGTGTTAAATGTCAGCCCTCTCTCTTTAAACAGCAGAAATGCATAAGCTTTGCTCTTTATTTCAGCTGGTATTTGTTTTTAAAAACAATCGAGGACCTTTTTTGGTCCCCGCCCGTGCGTTCCATGCTCATGCAGACAAACACAGGAAGAAAATGTGATTCACTAAAGGTCAGAAGGCAGAAAATGGTCGATGTGCTGCCCCCCCGACGCGCCATTTACAGAGTTGGCCTCAAAAACTGCCCGTACGCGTCCATTTTCAACCAAAGTGGCTTCATGCTAACGTTGGAGACAGTTTCAGGTCCACATCATCACAATACTCTATACTTTCCTGCATGTTTAAACCAGCTTCTGCATTTAAGTGGAGTTCCACTTTACGGGAAGACGGTTTCCAACCACAAAAAGAAACGGTTCATGTTTTTAATAAGCAGGAGCCTAATTTAAATAACAGTTTCTGATTTTTTTCTTAATAGGAGGATGTAGGGCAGCATTCAAGCACGCTATTATTATTATTATTCAAATCGCTGACCTGAATTAACAAAGCTTCAAGCATTACAAATGCAAGCCTCATTTTGAAATGACTGGACGACCACAGCACGCTAACCTGATCAGAGGCCCGACAGCCTGGACCAGAGTTCATCATGAACAGAGGCTATAAAGCTGTTTTTACATCCTGACATCAAATATGAGTATGAACCTGTATTAGAAGAAACGAGGTGATATAAAAACATAGGGTTTCTATAGAAACATGATAGAAACATGTCCTAATTTCTTTAGAATTTGAATCAGATCCAGCAGGAATTGGTAAAGTCCCGTTCACCGGTTTAACCCCCCCAGAGAGAAAAGGCTGTTCAGCCGAGCTGTGGTCTGCAAATAATGACTTTTGTCTTTGGTTAGGAGTTTCTGTGGAAATCCCTCGTCAGCCCACAGACGCTAATCCTCCGTCTCTGCAGCCGCCTGCTTTGAACTGAAACCACAGCGGTGATGTTATTTATTCAGCAGAGCCAGTAACACCAGCTAATCCATCCCATCTTAGCAAAACACCGAGAGAACGCCGTCTCAAAGCAGAGACTTTTAAAGCTTTTCGGAGAATCCACGCTCAGATTAGGTGTTCAGATCCTTTTTTTAAAATGTTTTTTTCATGGTGAGAGATGAGGAGCTTTCAGGAGCTTTTGATGGCAGCCTCACAGTCGGTGTGTCTCTATCTCAGATTGCTACCGATGTCCGAGCGGCCAAACAGGAGCTGAAGAAGGCGCGGACCGTCCTGCAGATGGACGAGCTCAAGTGCCGCAAGAGGGTTCTGCGCCGGCTGGGCTTCGCCAGTCCCTCCGACGTCATCGAAATGAAAGGAAGGGTGGCCTGCGAAATCAGCAGGTATGGACGAAAGGGTTTAAAGGAGACATATTAGACCCTATTTCAACAAGTTAAACTAGTTCCCTGGTGTCCTAATGTAATGTCTGTGACAAGCTTTGGTCAAAATCCCATAAGGATGAAGCCCAATAGCAGTTCAGTCCCCCTGCCAAAACAGCCCCGTTCTGAGCGCTCGCTTTGGAGTGCCTGTCTCTTTAAATGCAAATGAGACACAGGCAATCCACCCACTTCTTCTGGGAGGTGTGCCCACAGCCACACGCTAACGCTATCATGCTAACGCTCACGCTACCACGACGTCTGCCACAGACAGGCGTAGTAAGCTGAGGTGGGGGGCATTATGTAGGTGAAAGGCTGGAATATTATAATGAGCTAGAGCTAATGACGTCAGAAACTACCCACTCCTGAAACCTCCTGATTTATCTCCTGGATTCAGACTGAGGCGGCCCACAAAAACATGACTGAGTCATTTTTTTTCACACTTTGCCTGCTGATAGGCCCTCCACAGTCCCAAATGTACACAATCAAATTATTAAAAACTTGGTTTTGCATAATATGTCCCCTTTAACACTCAAACAATTGGCTTTCTTGTTAGAAAAAGTGTCCCTATAGTCACTTTTGGTCCTCCGTTTGGTTCTGATCAACACCAAGATGAAACATTGTCCTGATTCCAGCCGTAATCCTGCTGTTCCAGGTGCTTAGGGTCCACTCATTGGCAGGCTGAGTTCTGAACCTGCAGTCCGATTGGCGGTAGCTGTTGTTCCAGGAACAGCAGAGAGTTAAAACAACTGTGATTTCTTTCCGTTCCTGTGCTCGTCTCGCCCGGCTTATGGGGTCGCTCCACTTCCTGCTGCTCAGCAAACACAAATGACAGCTTCTGTCCAATCGGAGTCGAGCGAGGGGCCCTGCCCTGAGGCCCCATGTTCTGCTCAGACGAGCGCTGACACAACAGCTACACCAGAATTAGCCGTTTTCTGCCACAACTTCCACACGGAGCCCACAGAGTTGGGCTCTTTTTAAACCCTTAGCTTTCGTTTGAAGTTTATTAATTGAGGAAAAGAAGTGGGAGCAGATGTTCCCGCTCTAAATCTTCCTGTGTGAAAGAACGCCCGGGCCCCATTTCCTCGAACTGGCTGTTCAACAGAACAATAAACAACCGCCTATCGGATCCCGTTTGATTAGGTTCTGATGGTGTGCTGTGATCTCTCGTAGTGCTGACGAGCTCCTGCTGACCGACATGGTGTTCAACGGCCTCTTCAACAACCTGACGGCCGAACAGGCCACCGCCCTGCTGTCCTGCTTCGTCTTCCAGGAAAACGTAGGAGCAAAAACACACACACAAATCCCTCCTCCGATCTCTGTTTCGCACATTCCCAAACGCTGGCGCAGACTAAAGAGCCTCGCTCCCACACTTTTAAGCTCAGGTAGCCTCTTTTTATCCACCGGCCACAAAAGCAAAATAGATATAAGTTTGTGTTCGGGTCCAGAGGAGGCAGCATCCTCAGCTTTAGCCCAGCGAGAGGCAGCTGTTGTGTGTCTGTGTGTGTGTGTGTGTGTGTGTGCGTACAGCTGCTGTCCGTCATTAAAGACCACCTGCTGCTGGTTTATTTTCAGACGATGGCACCTCGTCCAGCCTGGCTTCAATCCTCATCGTCTGAGGATGAACGCCCTCGTAAAGCTTGGTGTAACTCTTACACACAACGAGTCGTTCATCTTTGACTGTTTCTGCTCCATCAGTGCTTATTTTATTAGATTTTTTTTCACATGAGCTTGTTATAGGTTAACCGTTTGCCTGCTCAAGCTCAAATCTCTATCTGGACGTATTTGATATGCTGTTCACAGGCCTCCATTCACAGGGAGCATCCTCCAGACCTCGTTCCTCCTCTGTGAACCGTCATTCAGCTGCTGACAGTAATGTTACGGAAAAAGTTCTTTAAATAAGTGAGGCAAAGTTTCTTAATAATTAGAGAAGATCGATCTTGTCCAATACAGATTTGAAGGCAACAGCGTCCGAAGACGCAGGTCACAGAGTAAACTCAGGTTAAAGGCACGTCCCCTTATATATAACGTAGTATTGATAAAGGAAAGGAAAAGGCCACTGTGTTTCTTATGAGCAACAAACAAAGACATTCCGATTTACATTTCAGTCCTCAAGGAAGTCCCATGGAGAATCTCCAAAGGGACAGCGCCATGCATATTCTCAGGAGACAGGAATGGGCCCCCATGTGGATTGATCAAAAGGAGAATTTTCTCAGGTGTGAGGATGGCACAAAGGGCGAGTCGTACAATTTAAATGATAAACACAGGAATGGGAGACTCATCCTCTATGGGATTAAGGAAATTGTCGCATTTCCTACTGGTGCTAAAACCACAGTCCATAGACGTACCAGACGACTCTCCCTAGAGGAATTAACAACCAGGTACTCTCAACAAAGAACCAAAAGAGAAGAATATCCAGGACAGTAAAATAGATGCTTCTGACAGTAAAATAGATGCTGTTTGGGTTCCATGTTGGCAGAGAACTGTTCCTCAAATGCCCCCAGCTTCAGTCACATTTTCAGCTCACTGATCGGCCTCAGAAGGTTCAGCTCCTGAAAGCTGAGCAGCTGTTCCTGGTTCATGCACACAGGGGTGTCAGACAGAACCACAGAGCAGCCGCCCAGCCTCCAAAGTGTTAGTTTTTCTTTGTTCCGCGGCTCAGAATAGACAGGGTTTCGTCAGGTTTTCAGGAAGGTGTTTAAACAGAAGGTGCAGGTCAGGCTGGGTCAGAGCGAGAGTCAACATTCATCCCCAGACTCTCTCCCTTTGAAGCCGGCGAACGTGCAACAACATTTCACTTAGTGTTCAGGAAATGTGAGGCGAAAAGCAACATTGATATATTTTTTTCTACCTTTTTTCTTTCTCTGAAACGCGGGACGCTTCTCTGCAGGCCAGCGAGATGCCCAAGCTGACCGAACAGCTGGCCGCGCCACTCAGGCAGATGCAGGTGAGGAAAGGGACCTGATTGGGTCCTCTGATGAGCCCTCTGATTGGGCCTTTGATCTGGCCTCTGATGGGGCTTCTGATCGGGGACCTGGCCGGGCCTCTGAAGGGGGCTGTGATGGGGCCTTTGATCAGGTCCTATGATGGGGCCCTGATAGGGCCTCTGATGGGGCCTCTGATCGGGTCCTGTTACGGGGCCCTGATGGGGCCACGGATCTGGCCTCTGATTGGGGCCTCTGATCGGGGCCCTGATGGGGCCTCTGATCGGTCATGTGATTGGGCCTCTGATGAGGCCTCTGGTCTGGCCCTGATAGGGCCTCTGATAGGTCATGTGATGGGGCCTCTGATGAGGCCTCTGGTCTGGCCCTGATAGGGCCTCTGATAGGTCATGTGATGGGGCCCTCATGGTGCCTCTGATTGGGGCCTCTGATCGGGTCCTGTTACTGGGCCCTGATAGGGCCACGGATCTGGGGCTGTGATGGGGCCCTTATGGGGCCTCTGATCTGGCCTCTGATTGGGGCCCTGATCGGGTCCTGTGATGGGGCCTATAATCGGGGCCCTTATGGGGCCTCTGATTGGGTCCTGTGATGGGGCCTCTAATTGGGTCCTGTGATAGGGCCTCTGATCAAGTCCTGTGATGGGGCCTCTGATTGGGTCCTGTGATGGGGCCTCTGATCGGGTCCTGTGATCAGGTCCTGTTATGGGGCCTCTGATCGGGGCCTCTGGTCTGGCCTCTGATTGGGTCCTGTGATGGGGTCCTGATGGGGCCTCTGGTCTGGCCTTTGATCGGGGCTTCTAATGGGGCCTCTGGTCTGGCCTCTTGATTGGGCCTCTGATAGGGCCTCTGATCTGGGGCTGTGATAGGGCCTCTGATCGGGGCCCTGATGGGGCCTCTGGTCTGGCCTCTGATCAGGTCCTGTTATGGGGCCTCTGATCGGGGCCCTTATGGGGCCTCTGATTGGGTCCTGTGATGGGGCCTCTAATTGGGTCCTGTGATGGGGCCTCTGATAGGGCCTCTGATCAAGTCCTGTGATGGGGCCTCTGATTGGGTCCTGTGATGGGGCCTCTGAT